ATGGAGAATTCTGATCTATGTGACCATTGGTCACGTTCCTATGTGGGGAGTGTGGTCACGTGTTCCAGGCCAGGAATCTGTAGGGAGCAGGGAGCCCCCTACTGTCCTTAGATGGGTGCTTGGGTGCCAGGGTATCTGAACCCACTCAACCTTACCAAGTTTCTTGGCATGGTCCACTGCCCCACAAGTGGCAGTTTTGCCATGAGCAGTTTCCTGCTGTCCTGGATGAGGTAATGTGTTTTGCATTTAACAGGTAATTTCTCCCCCAATAGTCATGGCAGACTCTGACTGGAGCTTGCACTGGGAATGCAAAGCACCTGCAAATGAATTTCCCTGCCTCTAGTGGCTTGAGAACTTGAGGTCGCAGGGTGACTCATTACTGTTCTGTTAGTCAGCACTGAACTAATATTGACAAGCCCTTATAGCAGACCTGCTGAGCAGAGCTGGCTAAAAGCAGGCCTGTCTTTGCAGGAGACAGTCACTGGGGCCTTTTTCCTTTCCTCAGAGATGGGAAAGTTAAACATGTTTCTTCCCACATTCAGTCCTTCACTGAGTGGATTTGTCTCACCTCCCAGAAGTGTGAGGCACATACCATCTGGTCTCATCTTTCTCAAGTCGATTGATGGTTATTTTTTCCCCTGTATTATAAATTGTCCACCAACTACATCAAGGACCATAGTTTAATTAAACTTGTTTCAAATTTCTGTAAAAATGCATGAACATATATATACATTCTAGGTTTTAATTTTTTCCCATGGGGGTGCTTGTGTGTGTGTGTGTGTGTGTGTCCCACAATGTGAGTATGGAGGTCAGAAGAGACCTCTCAGGAGTTTTGACTTTTCTTCTAGTTTGTAGGTCCCAGGGATGGAACTGACTCATCAGGCTCAGCGGACAGCGTCTTTACTTGTGGAGCCATTTCTCCAGACCTATATATATTCAATATAATTGTAAACCTGAACTATCTTCCATCAGGATTATCATTGAGCAAAGTGATAAAATGTTTGAGGAATCCATTAAGTGTTGGCAAGTCATTTCTAGGAAAACAGTGTTATCCCTGCCAGTAATATATGACAGTCTAAGGGCTAGAGGGGTGGCTCAGTGGTTAAGAACACTGGCTGCTCTTCTGGCGGACCAGAGGTTGATTCCCAGCACCCACATGGTGGCTTACAACCATCCATAACTCTATTTCCAGGGGATCTGACACCCTTCCTAAAAAAATTTTTTTTTCAAATTTAATTCTTTCCTTTTAATAGGTCAATGCTTACAACTCATTTTTCCATTTTATTCTTTTTTTAATGTCAATCAAAGGCTTTATAAGTTTGGTAATGCTCAATAACAAGATGCCCATACAATCAGAAGTGTAACCCAATACCCAACCTAGATATACCAACTATCTTTGACTGGAGGAGACACGCGAACATCCGCCTCCATAAAATTTTTTTTAAAGATTTATTTATTTTATTTATATGAGTACACTGTCACTCTCTTCAGACACACCAGAAGAGGGCATCAGATCTCATTACAGATGGTTGTGAGCCACCATGTGGTTGCTGGGAATTGAACTCAGGACCTCTGGAAGAGCAGTCAGTGCTCTTAACCGCTGAGCCATCCCTCCAGCCCTGACACTCTCTTTTAGGTACTGCATGCAGATGGTGCACAGACATATAAGCAGGCAAAACACACATATACATGCAATTTAAATATATGTATATATATATATATTATATTCATATATACACATATATGAAGGTCTCCATTTCACCAACTCCTAACACTGTCATCATTTTTTACAAAGTGTGTGTGTTGCTTTTTTTTTTTTCTGATTCCTCAGGGGTGTAAGGAATCTCACTGATCCTGTGAACATCCAGACCTGGGGAGGAAGCAGTGAGGCCCCTGAGGGACGTGCCTGTGCATTTGCTTCTCTGAGAATTAGAGCTCAGGATTCTCTCTTCGTTAGTGCCTTATTTTTCTCATAAATTTTCATTTATTCTTTATGAAGATATCAAGTTTTATACGTTTTCTTTCTGAAAATTCACACCAGTAGGTACCAACAGTATCTTAGATCAGTTTCTTTTGAACAGGGTCTCATGTAGCCCAGGCTGGCCTCCACTGGCTAAGTAGCCAAAGATGACCCTGAATTCCTTGTCTCCACTTCCCAGATTCTAATATCCCAGGTGGGAGCCTGGGCAATGGCTTCTTATGTAACAATTCTCCGAGTGAGAGTGTAGGTCAGTGGCAAAAACCTAACATGTGCAAGGCTCTCAGGTCGATTTCTTTCTTTCTTTATTTACTGTATGGATGTTTTGTCTACATGTATGACTACGCACCACATGTGTGCTTGGTCCCTTCAGGAGCCAAAAGACGGCATCAGATCACCTGGAACTGGAGTATAGTCTGGAGTCCCACTGGGGTTGTGAGCTGCCTGCTATGGATGCTGCAGAACAAATCTGGGGTTTCTGGGAGAGCAACAAGTGCTCTGAACCACTGTGCCATCTCTCCAGGCCCAGGTACCTGGATTCCCAAAAAGGAGAAAGAATAAACAGAATACAGAGGGTTTGTAGGGCAGTGAAAATATTCCCTCTGAAACCACAGCTGGGGACATGTCATTTTACAGTTCTTAACCCTTCCTGACTCCTAAAACTGCTCTAAAGAAGAAAATCTATCAATTACAAAATAGGCCTTTCATTCCAGCACACAGGAGGCAGGGGCAGAGGGCAGAGGGCAGAGGGCAGAGGGCAGAGGGCAGAGGGCAGAGGGCAGAGGGCAGAGGGCAGAGGGCAGAGGGCAGAGGGCAGAGGCGCAGAGGGCAGAGGGCAGAGGGCAGAGGGCAGAGGGCAGAGGGCAGAGGGCAGAGGGCAGAGGGCAGAGGGCAGAGAGAGAGGCAGAGAGGGAGAGAGGCAGAGAGGGAGAGAGGCAGAGAGGCAGAGAGGCAGAGAGGCAGAGAGGCAGAGAGGCAGAGAGGCAGAGAGGCAGAGAGGCAG